GCTGATGTGTCTGTTGATGATAGTAGTAATAACAATGATGATAGTTTATACTATTAACCTTTATCTCCAACAGGTATCAGTAGTAAATTGTCTACGGATACTCTTGTGGCGTCGCATCCAAAGCAAACAGGTGGTAGTAATAGTAGTAGCAGCAAGCATGGCAACAGCATCAGAGGAGGCGGTCATAAGGGGGGTGGCCAGTCGATGATGAACCTTCTGGCGGACGAACCCCAGCCACCGGCTAAGCTGAGAACGGTAAGGTTAGTCGAAGTAGTAGTAGTAGGAGTAAAGTGAGGGTCAGATACAATCAGCAGTAGAGGCATCTATGGCGATGCAAGGTAAACCATCAGTGGAGGTGGGAGAGGTAGGAAGTAGTAGTACAAAGAAGAAGAAGACTAAGACTAAGGAGAAGGCTGTCCCCAAGACCAAGTCAGTAGCAACAACTGATAAGAAGAAGGTCGTCAAGCCGAAAAGGCAGCAACAACAGCAACATGGCTCGATCAAGGCTAAGGCTGTGGACCAACCTCCAGCTCCTATTGATGGGCAGTCGGCCAAGTCGCGGGTTCGAACCCCGGTGCCCCCACTTTTACCTACTGCTAACAAAGTGGTGGCCGGGGAGAAGGATGTGTCCGATGAAGTTGTGGTGAAGAGGAGTGATTCTTTATCGTCATCATCATCATTGAGGAAGAGTACTGCAGCATGGGAGGAGTCTTCCTCCTCGTCCTCTTTGGGTACGGCTGATGGTGATCATCAAAATAAGTGCAGTAGCACAAACAATGCTACTGTGCAGCCATTTGAAGATCCACTTGAACCACAGCAACTATCGGCATCATTGGAGATGCTCTTCAAGCAAGCCCCTGTATATGACCGATCGGGGGAGGAGGAGGCTTCACCACAGGATGACTCTCTTGACGACGACCTGGATACTCTATTGAAGAGTTTGGATGGAAGTCTGCTGGTGGAAGACCAACAGGGGACGACTCCTCCTCCTCTTGCTCATGCTGATGCTGCTGTTGACTCGTATGGGCTCATTGGTAGTTGGAGAAGTCAGCAAGATATTCGGTAAGTTGCTAGTCGGCCTGCATCTTGGGCTCCTACATGTCTGGTTTAGATATGGTCTGTCATCACCGCCTAACAATGCTGTCTATCCTCCTTCATCATCATTCAATTTCGACGACGACCACGATGGGACTAGTGGTAGTAGTAGTAGTACCATTCTATGTCTGCTTTTGTCTGATAGA